ATGTCATTTTATGTATTTAAAATAAGCTTCAAGTATGGAGTCATCTTAGGCCAAATCAAGCCTGCTGCCTGTTTCTGTATAGCCCACAAACTAAAAACAGTTTTAACATTTTCAAATGGTTGAAAAGAACAAATAGAATTATTTCATGACATATGAAAATTATAAGCAATTCAAATGGTGATGTCCATAAATAAAGATTTATTAGAACACTGCCATTCTCTTTTGTTTCTGTATTGTCTGTGGCTGCTTTCAGGGTACAATGTCAGAGTTGCCTAAAATATTTATTTTCTGGGCTTTCACAGAAAAAAGTTTGCTGACCTGTAAATAATTTTTAGAATATTAAATAAAATTAGAATTTTAGGTGCTTTATTTATAGTCTGTCCTTAATAAATGTTTATCATATAAGCATTTCCAATTTCCAAACAATTGTAGACTATTCCTCTGTGTTATTTTTATCTCACAAATAATTTAGAATAATTAATTTGTGAAACTCCAGGATTTTCTGTGTAAGGGAGTTCTGAAAAATATGCCAAAGTGAGGATTCAACACAAAGCACTTGATGTTAGAAAGTGGCCACAGAAGTAAACAGAGGAACTGGTCCAAAGAGACAGAGGTCTACTCTGCCATGGGTAGTATGAGTTTGATGTAATTAAAAAAAAAGAGGGAGACCCAAGGTAAGTGCAGGTATCAATACTGGATAAGAAGATAATGGCAGCATCATTAATAGAATCTAGAGTCAAGAATCAAGCACTAGTGAAGTCTCTACTGGGTAGAAAAGAAGATAGTACACTTTTTAAAATGCTGAATTTGACAGATTGTTGGATATCCATATGAGGAAGTCAACCAGGCAACAATACAGCATGAAGAAGTTCAGAGAAGTCAGGTCTAAGCATCAGTGACACAGATAACCAATGCAACTCTCTACATACCGTGTGATACCTTCACACCTGGAGGTTCCCTGAAGAACTCTATAATTAAGGGGTTTTAATTTTATGTTCTCTCTGTGTATGTGTGTGGGGGCACTTATTACAGAACATAATTATTACAGGGAGATGGGGAAGTTTTAAAATAAATATTTTATTTCTATGGTACAAAATAATGAGCTATAAGAAACTGTTTAAATTATTAAATGCCAACGATGACTTCATCATCTCTATCCTTAAATAAATATACCAGGGAGAAAAACATTTTCAACAACTAAAGAAGATATACTTCCACAGATGTAGTTAAGAAACAGGTTGGCCCTAACAATGGGAAAAAAGATAATCTCTTTGATCTTAAAGGCTAGACACTAAAAATGGGATATATTTTACTGCAATAACAGGCTAATAGAGAATTTGTGTTAAAAGGAATCTTCCAAATAAATCTAAGATCATCTATTCCAACCACCCAAGAGGAAACTATTACAGTAGCTGAGTGACACATGCAAGGTTCCACAGACTGTTACTCTGAGGACCAAGACTACAAATCAATGCTCCCTCCACCATATAATCTCTTAGTCTCATGAAACATTAATAAATATCTGATGACACTCTTTCATTCAACCCAAACCTTTATATCATGCTTAGTACCAATGAGCACTATAAACATTAGAAAGCATTATACAAATGTTAGTTATTATAACTATTCTTACAGCCAATGACTAAAAGTAATGATATAAAGAAATAAGTTTAGAAAAAAAAATTTTAAATTAACCATGATAGTAAACTTTGTAAGAGACATCTAAGCCTTTCCTGTTCATCATAGTAGTATGATACCACCTGAAAATAACTAGAGACTCATACTAAGAATTAAGTTGTACAGTTAAACAGGTCACATATTTTAATGTATAGTCAGCCCTCTCTATCTGTGGTTTCCACATCCTTAGATTCCACATCCCTGGATTCAACCAAAAGCAGGTAAAAAATATTTGGAAAACAAATAGGGATGGTTGTGTCTATACTGAACATCCACGTTTTTTTCTTGTTATTATTCCCTAATGACACTTATATTGTACTAGGTATTATACGTAATCTAGAGACAATTTAAAGTATAAGAAGGATGTGTGTAGGTTATATGCAAATACTGTGCCATTTTCTATAAGGGATTTGAGCATCTGTGGATTTTCGTATCTGCAGAGAGTCATGGAACAAATCTCCCTTGGATATCAAGTGACAACTGTATTTATTGTATGCACTTGTACAAGAAAAAAAAATAAGGCTTCTGGAGATAGTTAATATATGCTTCCCTGAGAAACTCTTCTGGTTTAATTAGCAGTATGCATAATAAAAAATAATTAAGGGCCTAAGGCTGGACAAGAGTATATATAATCAACTATATATAAGAGATTAAAGATAAGCTTTATCTGAATAAAATATGCTGAAATGTTATAAAAACCAGAATAAATATAAGGTATTTATAGGGCTCCTTTTAGAATGTTTTATATTTAATATTAAGTCAAAGAGCTCTTCTAAATACAGAAAACGAAAACAGTCATCAAATGTTGTGGTATATGTGATGTGATATGCTGATAGGTCAAAAAGTTAAAGCACACACACACATTCACATGCTCACGCATACATAAGCAAATTGTCAGGCCTGCCAGATAGTACAGTAGAAACATGGCACTAATTTCTTTCACTGAGCAAAAAATAACGCTGGTAAAAACACCACTCTCAATTTTTTGAACAATTTAATAAGTATGTCATTGTCAACATACTTCAAAATCAACAACTACTAAAGCAATGCTTACAAAGTTGGAAGATATTAAAGCATTTAATATAATATATAATATATATATATATATATATTTTTTTTTAAAGATGGAGTCTCGCTCTTTTGCCCAGGCTGGAGTGCAGTGGTGCCATCTTGACTCACTGCAACCTCTGCCTCCCATGTTCAGGCAATTCTCCTGCCTCAGCCTCCCAAGCAGCTGGGACTACAGGCGCCTGCCACTACGCCTAGTTAATTTTTGTATATTTAGTAGAGATGGGGTTTCACTGTATTGGCCAGGCTGGTCTTGAACTCCTGACCTTGTGATCTGCCAGACTTGGCCTCCCAAAGTGTTGGGATTACAGGCGTGAGCCACCACACCTGGCCTATTTAAAATATTTAAGAGCATTATTGCTACTATCCAGAAAAATCTACTTTCTACTCCAGTCCATTTGAGAAATATGATGCAGTTCCATCAATAATGGTGAGTCATTATAGCAGGAATTCTTCCACAATAGGTAAACATAGGACAATGTACAGAGAAGCTTGTGTAAAAAGCCTTAGGAATTCTGCTATTAGTCCCCTACCCTCCAAATCCTAGGAGATTCCTCCACCACAGTGTATCAATGTTAGAAAACATCATGGCCAGGTTTGGTGGCATGTGGGTGCCTGTAGTTCTAGCTACTCCAAAAGATGAGGCAGGGAGATCACTGAACCCCAGGAATTTGAGACCAGCCTGGACAACATAGAGAGACCCTGTCTCTTAAAACAAACAAACAAAAAGCATTGCTTGAAAAACAGTTTCAAGTTAATGACCATCACTAACTAATGGGTAAAGGTTATACAAACTCAATGAAATGACTAAGACTCTAAAAGATTAACAAGTATCACAAACATTAGCAATAAACAAAAGATAAGATCACAAGCATATTAGAAATGCAAGAACTGACCCTTCAGATATCCTGAAGAAATAATATAAGTGATGGTAATCTTCTAATATAAGAAAATGAATATTCATATTTTTGGCATACTGATCTACTTAGAAGTCTAAAGTATACATGAACAACATTAAGGAAACAAGAAATTTTCAGGTATATTTTAATCTGATTATGATAATTGCTTTTCCAATAAAGGTATACACTTTTAGTAATAAAGATACTCTGTAATCCAGTCTAATACGCTTCTCACACATACTTACACACATCTATGCAAAAGAACTTCTATGAGATATGTAAGGATGGATATGAATGTTGGTAGCTGAGAAAAACCTATTCTGTTTTATGTATGGTAGTGACGATACTATATAATGATTTCTTAACTTAGTTAAGATCTCATATGCGCGATTTTATCTAATTTGTTGTTAAATATTTTGTATATATTATGTTATATATTTATACACGAAATACATATGGAAAAATTACAACATAATATAGTATGTATTCAGGAGCACTTCAATGCAAATTAAACAGAAAAATACATGTTTTAAAATTCCAAGTGATTTTAAAAAGACTCCAATAAATGTATTCGTTAATATTTATCCGTTGCTTAGTGAGCGCTTCAATTCTACATAAACTATAGGTCTCACTTGCCAAAAATTTGCTATACTCAACATGTATAAATTTTATAAATTGGTGACCAAAAAAATCAGCAAAAAAGCAGAATATATTTCTACTATAACTATGACTCTCAATATGATAGTGCTTAATTGATGACCAATATCTTAAGAGATATTAACAAATTTTTAATTGCTCTTGACTCCACTTCATTACAAAGGTGATTGTTCACCTGTGGGGCTTTCTCCCTCACTAAAACAACGAAATAACTTTATTTAAAAGAGGCCCTTGGCCAGGCGCAGTGACTCCCACCTGTAATCTCAGCACTTTGGGAGGCTGAGGTGGGCGGATTACAAGGTCAAGAGATTGAGACCATCCTGGCCAACATGATGAAACCCCGTCTCTAGTAAAAATACAAAAATTAGCTGGGCGTGGTGGTGCGTGCCTGTAGTCCCAGCTACTGGGGAGGCTGAGGCAGGAGAAGCTCTTGAACCGGGAGGCAGAGGTTGCAGTGAGCCAAGATCATTCCACTGCACTCCAGCCTGGCAAAACAGCAAGACTCCAACTCAAAAAAAAAAAAAAAAAAAAAAGAGGCCCTTTATTTAAGAGTCTTTTAGAAGACAAAATAGAGAAAAAAAAGACCAAATTACTAAGACAATCAAAAAAAAAAAAAAAAAAAAACTGACAATTACATATTACCTGGATACAAATTTTACAATGCAGAATATTAAAAAAAAAAGAAAAGAAAAGGTTTACCTCTACACAGGCTTTCATCCCTGAGGCAGCAGCATAGTGCAAGGGTGTGTTTTTTTTGTTATCAACAGCATCAATAGCTGCTCTCTCATATTCACCCTGGTCAAGTTTTGCTCCTTTCCATTTTAAGATCATCTGCAGACAATCTGCTCTTCTGAAATCATCTTCTGTGGGGCGTGCCAAGCGAGGATGAAGGGCTCCTTCAGATATCATAATTTGAGGTCCCATACACAACAAATGCATAGATGTTTCATTGTGCACATTCCGTTTATTTGGATTTCCATCTCTACCAAGAAAAGTCCTAAAATGGAAAGGAAGGGAAAAATAAAGGATGAAAATCACTTATTTTCTACCTTGAAATACATTGAAGATAACACATTTAAAAGATAAACTCTACTTCTAAGCTAATAATCCAATTTATACTGAAGGCCTGGTTTACAACAGCTTGAATGATTAATTCTTAGTTTTAAAAAACTCTATTCTAGAACAACAATACTAAGAAAAATAAACGTAAATATCTTTATACTACTTGCTAATTAAAGGGGAGGGAAAGGAAGGGAAAAGGAAGAAAAAAGGAAGATGAGAAATGTAAGGGGTGAGGAATGGACAGGAAAAGAAAACACTGATAATTTACAGATTAATGTCAATTATATAGATGCTTAAGGGTGTATTAAGCATTGCACACTAATTTTTAATTCTTCCTTTATTGCTCTGATCTATTTGTTGCATACATAGTTATTTAATAGTGACAACTACTATATCAGTGGCAACTAATTTAAGGACAGAAAGTAATATGTAAACCTGAGACTAAATCTAGAGAAAATTTTCTCCACCAAGGTCATCAGCTAACCTTTAAAATAATAAGGATTATATTTACAGTGTCTTAATCTGCTTGAGTTACTAAAAAAATACCATAAACTGAATGGCTTATAAACAAGAAACACTTATTTCTCACAGTACAGTTCTGCACACTGGTAAGTCCAATATTAACGTGCCAGGCGATTCAGTGTCTGGTAAGGGCTCGTTCCTCAGAGGCCTTCTCATTGTGTTCTCTCACATGGTGAGAGGGGCAACTACTCCCACCATGTCACTGTGTACTACTCCCATTCCTGAGGGCTCCAACCTCATGATCTAATTACCCTCCAATGCCCCATTCAGACCACAGCACACAGTATAATACCTTCTGAGGGGAGTTGTGGTTAGATCTAGAAGACTAAGATCTAATTCCACGGTGAGTGTTTATCTCAAAGACAGGTCTAGGTGAGTTGCCTTTACTACTGCCAAACCCAGATCTAAGAGTTGTGCCTAGCTCCTAAAATGAGTCACAGGATTAATAGTTGAGTTAGAAAAGGCAAAGGAAGGGATTCAACCCTGGAGCCTCCAAAAATAATGCAGCCATGCCAACACCTAGAGTAGTCCAGTAGAACGATTACAGTCTTCTGAACCCCAGAACTGTAAGAATTGTATTGTTTTAAGCCACTAATTTGTGGCACTTTGAGACAGCAGCAATAGGAAATTAACTCAGCAAGGAACCCTGAAAATATCAATCTGGGATGTTATACAGTAAGCCTTGTATTAACAGACCTCTTCCTCTCTGGACACCAGAAGGTGGGGTGGGCTGGGGCAGGGTGGTGGTTGGGAGGAAGAATCTATCCCTGAGTAAAAGCAAATTTTCCTAGGGAAAAGATAAGACTAGTGTCTCTGAGTTTTACAACTTAGGGAATACTTCCGTGGTCTAGAGGATCATCCACTCCTCACTCCCTTCAAATGTAAATACATATCTCATAGGCAGTAAGTCTCTCTGGAGTCCTCAACGTCTATTCAGCCATAATTTAATTTCCAGAGCTAATTTTTTAGTCCAGGTTCCAAGTTTTAGTAAACTTTGCTCAGGTTTTCTCTACATGCTTATTTTCTCTACAGCTCCACGTAGCCTTTATGGTCTTCTGATGCCGGCAGTACACTCCAATACTTGCTCAATTTGGTTTCCCAGGAACTGATTCAGGCCACTTAAGCAAACCCAACACTACTTAGAAGCCTCTTTACACTAGGCTCCCCTCGTTCAGTCTGCTACTCTTTTCTTTGTCTTCATACAGCATCCTAATTCTATAACTCATTACATTTTATCATACTTTCTTACCTTTCTGTTCCCTTCTCCCAAATAGTTTATAGGCTTTTAAGGCAGGGCTTATAAATTCTGTTCTTTCTTGAATCCCCTACAGTGTCTCATACACAGCAAATTCATGCCATAATTTTGATAAATGAATTGGATGCATATTAAACTTTCATGATCCAGATCAGTGACATGGGATTGGGGATCTCTTGAGCCAGTAGTGCAGCACATTGGTTAAGAACGTGGTCCCCGACTGCTAGGTTCTAATCCTAGTTCTGTCATTTTCTAGCTGTGTCACCTTGGGCAAGTTACATAATAGCTCATAACAACTAATATATGATTTCACATCCTTTGACTGAGTAAAACTACTCCTGAGAGTTTACCTTAAGGGAAATAAATAAAAATTTATAGAAACAAAGAAAATCAATACAGTGTTACTTTGAACAGAAAAATTTGGAAATCACTTAAGCGTTTAATAATAGAAATGGGAAACATAAATCTGATATACAATAGAAAATTATGGTTATTTAAAGTCTATCCACGAGTGTTATAGCTAAGTGGAAATATAAGAATAGAATTCCCTTTCCCTTCTCAATCTTCTGAATATATATGGATAAAAACTAGAAGGGAAGATGGAATAATTCTAACATTTGTTTAGGGGAGGCAAGAATATGGGTAATTTTTTTATACAGCCATAATGTTGCTTAATAGTTAAAATATATATTTTCCCTATGTCAACTGCTGATAATAAAATTCCCAATCATATTTCCTTGTATTTATGATTGAATTACAGTGGATAGCCAAAATTAAAACCATACTCTAAAACGTATTCAAGATTAATACCTCTTCTACGAGGTATGATTGACAAAAAAAGATTTCACTTTCTTAAAAATTTAATTAAGAAAGAAATTATTAAAGTTAATTCCGATTCTGTAAATACCCTGTACATAATCACATTTATCTAGCCTTTCTTACCCCATTTCCAATATATCAGTTATTCTCTTATTTAGCTCAGGAGAGTTCAGGTTCTTATCACAAAGAAATTTAAGGTAAATTGAGAGGATGTCAGTTGATATGGAAGGACCAATCTCACTCTCTCTAGTATTAAATGGCTGTAGATCCTCCCCATATAGAGAAGAGAACGAGACACTCTCTTGCCAATCTGCCAGGCTCATTAATCAAACCAAACACACAGAGTGTATTATTCTGAAGTAAAAGTATTAAAATAACTTCTTTATACATATTTACTCAAGAAAGAGTCTCAAATTATTAGACACAGTAGCACATCTGCATAAATATTTCATGCTAAAACTATTTAATAAATTGAATACTCTAATTTTATTGATTCCTCTCATCTGTTTAAATTCAAAGGAGACTCTTCTCAAATTTACATAAATGTATAAATAGAATAATGAGTACAAAATTGATATGTATGTTTTAGACCCCGTTCTGTAACTATGTTAGTAGTTAAGGATTTTTTTTTTTTAACTACTAGCATATGAAGTTAATTCTGGAACAGGGATAGGAGATAATTAACAGGAAGGTGGGGTAGGGAAAACATTAACCTGGGGAAAAAAATTCATCCCTTTCATGTGACCCTAATAACCCATCCAGGAGCCACGTGTTTTTTCTAGATTCTTTCACTGTTAATTCTCAAGCAGCCAGTTTATAGCTGTTACCTCTATTTCTTCTACATTCATTCTCCACTTCAATATGACCCTATTCTTATCACTACATGGAAGTTTCACTCTCTCATGTAACCAGCAATTTCCTAAGAGCTAAATTATTCATCATTGTCCTTAATTTTTGTTCTACACTTTAAATTGTCAACTGCTTCATTTACCTCTTGACCTTTCTATTACCTTGGCTTCCATAATCACACTTTTTCAATAATCCTCTTAATTTTTTTCAGTACAACTTCTCTTTTACCCATGATGATGGCGCTAATTCCTACCCCATTACTGGAAGTAAGTTTCAGTTCTTAACCCCCATGTTCTTCTCCACACACATTCTCTTCTTTCAGAGAGTCCATCCACTCTGAAAGCCATTTCTCTTTCAATGGTTTACGTGAATACACTTTGTAAATTGGGAAGTATGACCAGAACCCAAATGACAGGCAGTAGTGGCAGAATCACAGATTTCCCTCAAAGGGTTTCTACTATAGATTGAGTATCCCTAATTCAGAAATCTGAAACGCTTCAAAATCTGAAATGTTTTGAGTGCCAATGTGACTCTCAAAGAAAATGCTCATTTGAGCGTTTAGATTTCAAATTTTTGCATGTGGGATGCTCAACTAGGTAAGTGTAATGCAAATATTCAAAATCCAAAGAAATCTGAAATCTGAAACAATCTAGTCCCACTCATTTTGAATAAGAAATGCTCGATTTGTGTTACTTCTGTGATAATTCTTAATGCTCTATCATCCTATATGACTTCTCATCTGACCCCATACCATATTCTCACATCTTATAGGCCTCTTTCTCTTGCACTCATACTCAACTGAACTCTCTCTGAAGTAACTATTCTCCCAGAACCTCAATTTCTTGCAATAACTCTTTTTATTCCACCAATCATATATACTTAAACCTTCAGTTCCTCTGAAATATCCTCTTTCATGCAACATTGACTGAGCACTCATTATTTGCTAGGTACTATTCTAGAAGTTAGGGATATTGTAAAGAAAACAGATAAAGTCTCTGCTCTTATGGGGTTTGCATGCAAGATAAGGGGAGTTGGGGAGAGGAGACCTGTATTTCAACTTACTGAAAATAACTTAGCTCCTAAAATATAAAACAGTCAAAAAGTAGAAATCAATAACTGGAAACTCTATGTTAACTAATCCTCAAAGCTACAGACTTTGATATTAACATGTGCTCTAATAAAGACAGGCTCTAATAAATATTTTCTATTTTATTTATACCAAAAGACAAGCCCCTTTTATTTCCAAATAAGCAAAAGAGGCTGTTTTGTAGAAGATACAACTAATGAATTATATATCCAAGTTAGAATACACTAACTCCAAGTCCATGGCTTTTTTATATGTTAAGTAGTAGCTACGAGTATGGATTTAGTTTCCCGCAAAAGAGGCAGTGCAATTGTGATGTAATATAATATAAACACACAGCATGTGGGTTCAGAGAGAGAGATGCAAAGGGGCATCTATTACCATATTATTCTACCTAAGAAAGGAA